AAAAAAAGTGGAAAATGTCCTCCCGGCCCCGACCGGCGACCGAGCAAAGCTCCGGAGCAACTGACCTAATCAGAAAATCTTTATTCACCAACGGACACCCCATAGCTGCTGGACCCCACGACCCTGGCCAATACCCAGTCCATACAAGCATTGAACAGGGTAGGAACAAGAACACACCCCTGGCGAACCCCAGAATCAACTGGGAAGAACGCAGAGGTTCTCCCTCCACCCTGCACAGCACTCACAGTACCAGTGTACAGGCTGGAATCCCGTGTAGTCTCAGAATGTCCCACAGGGCAACTCAATCAACCAAGTCGAACACTTTACGAAAATCAGCAAAGGCTGCAAAGAACCTCTGCCGATATCCACGCTTGTGCTGGATGAGAACCCTCAGTACCAGGATGCGGTAGATGGTAGACCAGATGGAAAACTAGACTGTACCAGAAGCTGGCAGGCAAGCAAGTGATCACTGATCCTGTTAACCCCCTGTAGTTGCCACAATCCAGGTGAGCACCCTTCCCTTTCCAGATAGGGACTACAAAGTCCTGCTTTCCAGTCAGCTGGGATAATGCCTGACTCCCAAATGGAAGAAGACATTGCTCACAAAGCCAGGAAAACATCCTTACCACCAGCCTGGAGAAGTTCAACCCAGATACTACAGATCCCTGCAGCCTTCCCTGCCCCCAGCTGATTCATCACCCATGCAATCTCAGTGAGACTGGGTGGTTCACAGCTGATCAGAGGATCATCTTCGAGAACTGTGGACCCAGAGATGTCCAATATCCTAGCTGGAGGGTCAGCTTTAAACAACTGCTCAAAGTAGCCAGTCCAGCAGGTCATAACTGTAGTGTCATCTGTAAGGACCATCCAATCACCCACCCTTACTGAAAGTCTCCGAGGAAGAGATTCAAATGTGCGTAATGCTTCGATTCCTTTGTCAGCAGGACATTGGACAGTGTCACCTGCTCACAGATTCGTCTAACACCTCCTTATCTGCCCTCAGAGCCCTCAGCCTTCCTTCAGTTCCCAGGACAGACTGGAGTTGCCACCAAGTCATGCACTGCGATTCCTCTCGGTAATATCCAGGGTGACCTGCAAGATGAAACGCCTCCTAGGAACACTGGCAACACCAACACAACCTTTGGCAACCTTCAGGGTCTTATCACGGAAGGTCTCCCACATCAGAGTCAGCAGACGCACCAAAGATTCCAAGTTCCTCACACAAACTGCGTGCAAACTCATCAGAAACAGCTTGATCTTGGAGTCTGGCTAAGTCCAGCCTCATTTTTCCTAGTAGGCAGTAGCCTACAAGATCTAAGATGAATCTTCAGAGTAGCAACAAGTCTGGTCAGAATTCACAAACTGAGCACTTCTGTAGACACTGTAGTTCTGCAGGAGACTCCAGTGTCTACCCACGAGGATGAGATTGATCTCCTTCACCGCACCACCAGTATTCGAGTACCAAGTCCAATGATGCGGCTCAGGGCGTTGGAACCAGGATTGAACGATACACAGCCCCTGACCTTTTGAAAAATCAAAGAACATGGAGCCACTTTCACCCCGGTCTCCAGACCCATGGGGACCAACACAATCCTCATAGCCAGCCCTGTCAGTGCCAGTGGTTGCATTGAAGTCATCCATGACCAGAGTGTCACCTCATGGGCACCTTTCAATCACCGAGTGAAGTTGCAAGTAAAATGTCTCCCTCAACAAAGACATCACTCACCGTAGTCAGAGCATACACTGAGACAGACAAGACATCCAGGGAGTGCTTTAGCCCAAGTCAGGATATGCTCATTGAAAGGATATGGACACCATTGAAAGGAGCTGATCCGCTACAGCAACACCTACTCCCCGAGTATGGCAGCCATCAGAACAACCAAACCAAAAAGTCAGTATAACCTCCCAAATCTGGCCACTCCCGGGTCTACTTACCTCAGAGAGCTGCCACCAAAACGTGGAGTTTATGAAGCTCCCCCGAGAGCAGAGGAAGATGATCATCTTGCCGGAGAGACAAGACATTCCATGTGCCAACCCCAATGGGCCGCCTAAAACTGGGTCCAGAGCGCCGCCATACAGCAGGCGAAGCCTCAGCATCACATCAGCCCTGATCCCCAACAGGCCGGACCCTATTAGCTCTGACGGTTTCGACTCATCCGGGGATGGAGCTCCCCATCCCCTTCATGGTGCATGCAGCCTTCCTGTGGGTGGCTGCAGCAGAGCTACTTTGAACTGGAAGATCTCAGCACACTGGCCATTGAAAAGTAGATCTTGAGTCAAAGGTTGGGCACCCATGCTCTACACAACTCAATTCATCACCCGATTTCCAGCAAATATACAAAGTGATTATATTCTGCAGCCATGAACCATGCAAGCCTGGACTCACCACAGCCCAGCTCATCAGTGCCATCCAGACAGTCCTTCTCCCCATCACACCGAAATGATTCAGGGACACAGCGGGTCTTGTTGTCACAGCGATGGGCACAGCTCTTTGACGGCTTCCAGCATTCCAATTCATCTGATCTGTCCTGGCACTGTGCCACTCCATCACACACCTGTTCCATATCAATACACTTCTTCCCATGGGCACACTGAAACTGCCCTGTATGAGTATGACAACACACCATAAAACAT